CTTTTTACAACTTTTTTATTTGAGACTGGAATGAAAATTTAATAAATACATTTCGATGACTTGTTTTAGTTAATAAATGTTGAAACTTTCATAAAAATTGGTTAACGTTGTTATCAGATACAAAACCGTTGTTGTCACAAAAACCGAAACATTTAACAGGGTTCGTTGTTGCACTGAGTCCCTTAATCTATGTGGAATATTTTTTAAAAAATATCACACTAATATTCTGTAAAATAACAAAGACAGGGAGACAAATATCGAGGTCCAACACATTTTATTTCACAACAGAAGAAAAAATCCTTCATTTCAATTAATTTTCATGCGGCTAATTTTAAAATGTCCATATTTTTGAAGATATATCCATAAAGAGGAAAAATAGGACTATATCGTCACTTTTTTCAAATTGTTAAATAGTTCCCCGGTATATAAACAGGGCATTTATTTAAAACAATTGCAAAATAATTGGTTAAAAAATATTTTTTTATTTGAAATCATTTTTATTTGGTACTCTTATGTCTCCACCGTAAGTACTCACAAAGCTCATTTTGATCAGATTGTTAGTTCAATAGTTATGATTTATTGAAAAAAAGGTTGATCCTAAATTTCAAACAGCTGTCAAATGAACAATTTTTAAATTTTTCAAAAATCCTTCGATACACGTTTATATATCGCCAAAGACTACAACATATCAAAATTTGAACAAAATCCGAAATGGTGCTCAAAAAAATGTTCAACTTCGTGTGAAATGACCCTATATTGAGAAGTTTAAGAAACTTCAATATGGTTTTCTTACGGTGCAGTTTCCAGAAATGAAACTTTAAGGATTGATATTTGCATAAAGATTCGCAGTCCAATAATCATAAATAGAAAAATACATTTTATTAATAAAAAATGTAGATAGTTTCGAAACACCATCGTCTGCGAAAGGTACATGCAATGGGAATTTACGTAGTATTTAGTATAATCTAGTATGTTTTACATATTATTGTGTAATAATAATAATAATGTATAAATTGCAAAAACCATAGGAAGTAACATTTTATTGACGATTATTTTCGTGTAATGTAAAGATTTTTCCGCCCACATTTTAGCATGTATGTAACACAGTGTCATAAAACTTACAGGGCCCACGCTCGATTGTATTTACAATTCAAATTCAGCCAACTGAATTTTATTATCTTTACATCTGTACAATCACCTGGACGATAAATAAAAGGCTTCCTTGGATATCATTAAGCAACAGACGAACAATGATCAGTTAGACCTTTTAAACTGTACTATTTATGCATTGTGCGTACGTATAATGACGGAAATGATGAGAAAATATGAATTTGTCATCTGTCCACTAATGAAAATGGAAATAATAATTATAAATGTGGTTACGTATCCAAAGATATATTATTCACATTTAGTATCTTTCTGTTCATTATACCATTAATTTTGTTAACTAATTGATTAGTATTTTTACTATCGATAATACCCATTCATAACTGATTTTGAGGATTACAAAAAAGAATCTTAGACAGAGTTTTTAAATATAATTAGCCAAAATCCTTTAGATAATTTTAAAATAAAGTAATATAAGATTGTAGAGTCATTCATTGATTCAATGAACTTTGTTATGCTTTCTTGAGAAGAGAGTATAACAAAGTTGTTGACAAATGACTGTAAAACAGTGAACAATAACTGTAGAAACACAATACTATGCATAGTACATTTCTGTTTTTATAGTCATTTGAAGTTGCCAGACAATTGAATTTGTCTTAAGATATACTACAGTATAGTATGATAATCAGTCCCAGATAGCACATGACGCCTAATGACGCCTTGAAGACGGCTTAATGGCGCTTTAGACCTAAAATAGCCGTAAAATGGGTGTCTTTAAGGCGTCATGTGCTATCTGGTAATATACAGGACCATTATAAATAAAAAAAACTAACAATTACCTTGAAGTCTACTAACTCATAAGTTTGATCTAACTGATCATTTGACCGGTCGTGGTAAGTTTAAGTTTTATAATGTTACGTTCCTCTTTTGACGAACGATTTGCTAAGCGAATGTTACGTTACAGAAGTAGGCCACAGAAAATTTCCCAATGTTCGACCTCGCGATGTTGAGCGGTAACAGCATTCATCCCCTTCCAGCGTATTGTCTTTCGGTATACAGTCGCGGCTGGGATTAGAGCAGACACTGAGACACGAAATCCGCTCGTGTTTCCTACAGCTACAGATCATGGAGGAGAAAAAAAAAAGCATCCACAGTATTGTTACTTGGTGGGGTCGATGGAACTGCTAGGTGGCATCTAATGAGAAGGAGCGAACAATGAGCCTTTCTGACTTAAGTGCCCTAGGGTGAATACCGGAACAGTGCTCCTACAACCCTTCTTATTTTATTCATTTATTCTCACGCCTGCTTCACGAATCAGACGAGTTACCTGGCGAAAGGGGCTACGGAGGTGAATGGCTTCGAGATATTCACGATGTTTGATGAAACAAAAACAATTTTGGATACCGTAGAAATCATGGAGATACAGGGGCAGAAAGTTTCAATAGCTTTCGAAGTGAAATTTCAATATTCTAATAATTGCGGTGCAAACTCCTCTTGATTATTGGTCTGGCTTGTTCTACACGATTATTGTCCAGGTAATATCCTCATTGGGGGGAGGGGGGCGTGGAACCTGTCAAACACATACTTTGTTAGTTTGTGGCCCCCTCCGCTTTTGTTGCTCGAGCGGCTAAACTTCCGAAAACCCCCATGCCTCGAATTGGATGAAATTTTCGAAATAGAATCTTTTTTTAAAAATGATGATTGCAAGAAGGATTTTTGGCGACTCGAAAAGATTTGTTTACCATTTGAGTATCCTTTCCTACCTTACCGACACAATTTATTATAGTGAGCGAACCATTTAAAATATATTATCACCGTGCTTAGGCATACTTCGGACAGCGTAGAAAGTCGTCTACTGTTTTGGGGGAGGGGCGGCCCCTCCCCGCCAGCTGAACTAGCCCAAACCTACTCCAATTACTCTTTCTTGATATCCAAATTCTTAAACATAACAAAAATAGGATATAAAACATTCCTCAGGCGACAGAAATTACAATGACCAAAGTTACATACTTCGATCACTGACGAGGCCACAGCCGACTCTAATAGTCTAGTACTAGCCGTGCTGAACAATGTGGCAACACCGCTCATAACGGATTCGGGAGTCCTATTTTCAAGAATAGAGTTTTGTGCTCAGTGTTATAATTAACATTATTTTTTACATAAAACCATACTAATACACAGTATTATAACAAAATGGGACCCATAACCAGATATGTAAATTTTGAATGGATCATCTCCAACATAATTGGACAAGTATTCAGTATGCATAACAAAACATTCTCCAGTCCACCATTGGGTGATAGAATACTTTGGTATCTTTGAATATCACTTTCTGCAAAATGCAGACTGGAAACGGCAGAATATTTTGTTGGTATCCGATTTTTACGAGGAATAGCAGCCATCTATTTTTTCCACAATTCCTCATCTTTGGGGAATACAAATACAGATATATAATTACTATCTTTTAAAGTACTATCATAATTTCCCTTACAATTGGGAATACAGGAAACAAAATTTCCAAAAAGGCAATAGATTTTCTTAAATAAATGTGCTACACACAAACAAATGATATGTAGAATTAATATAAATAAATAAAATTTACCTGGATTATTGTACTGTTTCTTACATTCGGAGGATTACAATAATCTAAACATTTGAAGGATAGGCGGGAAACTGAGAGGCCGGTAGAGGGAGACTGAGTAGCCGGGAGGCCGGTAGAGGGAGACCGAGTAGCCAGGAGGCCGATAGAGGGAGACTGAGTAGCCGGGAGGCCGGTAGAGGGAGACTGAGTAGCCGGGAGGCCGGTGAAAGCGAGAGGTCTGGGAGGCTGATATGATAGGTTGGATTAAGTCTGGGTTAGGTCTGGGGAGGTACCGGTTATCCCTGTGGACCGGGGAATAGAGAATACGGCCACGGTAATCCCTGCCTGTCGTAAGAGGCGACTAAAAGGGAGAGGTGGAGACCGCGGGACTGTGGCACCCGCGGTCCAAAGGTGGGGG